GATTGGCTGAGACTGACAAGAAGGCAGATCACGGGCAGAGCCAGCACAAATCAAACACAACCCTGGTCAATCAGCATCTCCTCATAGAGATGAATTAAATCAATGAATCTCTATGAGGAAAGTTCAGTGTCTGCATGCAGAGGGAGGAGACACTGAATGTTTGGATGCCTTTTAGGCAGGAAGGATCTCTAACAGCCATCTGAGGAGTGGCCGGTGAAGTTATCACTAGGCTGTAATGTAAAGACTACATTTTCTCTGAAAATACAGTGTTTACAGCAAAAAGCCTGAAGGTTTTCCTTTTTTTTTTCTTTTTTCTTTTTCTTCTTGTTTTCAGTAACTGCTGATTTTTTGTTGGTTTCAGCTTAGATACTATGTTGCATTCTTTTTTAGTAAAAGTATTTCAGGCATCAGTAATCATTTTAAGTGCTTAACCCTCGTGATCTGATGCCGGACACAATAATATCTTTGGCTAATATTGAGAATATATATTCCTTGAGCGGCAGATGTAATCTTTGCTACAATAAAAAATCTTGCTGCCATTCCTCTAGCTCAAAAATCCCAGGCTGAGCATCCGGCAAGTATAGGACATTATAGCCTGAGTGCAAGGATTTCCTGCTATGTGTGTGTGTATATATATATATATATATATATATATATTGTAAATGGCTCATGGGGCACTGCCACATCCAGCCCAGTTTTGGTCCGTGTTGGGCCACGCTGTCATTAACATTCCACGTGTGTTCAGCTCATATTTGGCCTTTCACTAACTAGGGTGACATTAGCATTGCAGTTCGTATTTGTTCCTCATTCAAATATGGGAAATTTCACTACCAACAATCAAATACTTTTTTCCCCTCACTGTGTACATATACATATACACAGTGAGGGGAAAAATGCATATATATGTATTTCTAACCTTATAGTATTCCTTTAAGTGGATGACATATGTGTATATATAAAAACTAATAGTATGAATAAAAATATATGCATTCTCCTTTCTGAGACTCTGGTTTAAAGGCTGGGCTAGGATATGATGTATTTTAGAGGTGAAAGAAGTCATTTCCATTCAAAGTATCCTGATTTCTCAAACTCGAGATTGTCCAATATGAATAAAATTTTCCCTCCTAAAACGAATCCTCTCCTGCCACTCTCCCTGCAAGTTGATTATACGCCTATCAACTAATATCTGCCTTGGTTTTATCTTTATCTCTGGACTCACCATTACTCTCCATTTTAAGTCGCTCACCAAATCCAAATTTTTCCATTAAAAACATTGCAAGCATTTAACATTACTTTACACAAGATACTTCTAAGAACTTGTTCAAGCTTTAACAAATTCTTCTAATGATTAATGTAATTCTCTCATAACAGGTCTCTCCAGAGAACATACTGCCACTCTATAGTCCAAAATGAAAGTCAGTAATAATAAAAATAATGATATTCATTTGAGTGGAAGAGCTGATTGTTGGCCAGTGAACAGGTCTGTAACAAGATAACAGTGTCTTGAGCTGCAGATAGCTTAGCCGTAGGCCGGCACAACATACTTTGCAGATTCCCCTGAAACAGAGCACTGGGGTCAACAGTAAGAGACAAATTATAGAATCACTTCTATCCTCCTACGCTAAGATCATATTTAAATGTGTCCTTCACACTGACTTTCACATCACTAACTCTATATACAGCAAGGCTATGTATTTTGTCTGAGAATGTTAAAGGACCACTATAGTGCCAGGAGAACATACTCGTTTTCCTGGCACTATAGTGCCCTGAGGGTGCCCCCACCCTCAGGGACCCCCTCCCACCGGGCTCTGGAGAGAGGAAGGGGTTAAACACTTACCTTTCTCCAGCGCCGGGCGGGGAGCTGTACTCCTCCTCTCCTCCTTGCTCGCGACGTCATCGGCAGGAGCCGCGCGCGCATTCAGCCAGTCGCATAGGAAAGCATTTACAATGCTTTCCTATGGACGCTTGCGTGCTCTCACTGTGATTTTCACAGTGAGAAGCACGCAAGCGCCTCTAGCGACTGTCAATGAGACAGCCACTAGAGGCTCTGGAGGCTGGATTAACCCTCAGTATAAACATAGCAGTTTCTCTGAAACTGCTATGTTTATAAAAAAAAGGGTTAATCCTAGAGGTACCTGGCACCCAGACCACTTCATAAAGCTGAAGTGGTCTGGGTGCCTAGAGTGGTCCTTTAAATCCCTATGATCCACTATAGGATACGAGGGATAGTTAAAGGAAAACTGCCATCACGTTTTGTTATTTGAAATAAAAGATTGTATGTGTTACAGCCTCTACTTTGGTATGATCGCTAAATACCTCTTTTTAGTCTCTTCTGGATTATTCTTGCTCTTTGGCCAGAACAATTTCTCAACCCAGTTCTCAAGGACACCCTGAACTGTCCAAGATTTAAGGATTACCCTGCTGCGTCTAATGTGTTTTTGGGAGGGGTGGGGGGGAACAAACACTTTAGACACAACAGGGTAATCCCTAAATCCTGGACTGGTAGGGGGTTCTTGAGGACTGGGTTGAGAACCCCTGGCTTATATGATCTAAAACCATGCTTGTAATCAAGACCATGTGTGTGTTCAGGAACTCTGATATCATGCACAAGTGCAGGATATCTCAGAAATGCACTCTAGAATGGTTTAATACAATCAAATTGTGCATGACCTGAACAGATGTGTGTTGCTTCTGACCAAGCAGGACTACAGGTGGCTGGCCCCACAGAGCAAGATTAAGCCTGGAGATGCAAATATTAACTTACAGTTATTCATACAATTTAATGAAACATTGAAACATAGAATGTGACAGCAGATAAGAACCATTCGGCCCATCTAGTCTGCCCAATTTAGTATTATTATAGTCCCTGGCCTTATCTTATAGATAGGATAACCTTATGCCTATCCCACGCATGCTTAAACTCCTCCACTGTGTTAACCTCTACTACTTCAGCTGGAAGGCTAATCAATGCATCCACTACCCTCTCAGTAAAGTAATACTTCCTGATTTTATTTTTAAACCTCTGCCCCTCTAATGTAAGACTATGTCCTCTTGTTGTGGTAGTTTTTCTTTTAAATATAGTCTCCTCTTTTACGGTCTCGTCTTTCCTCCAAGCTATACATGCACACAGTGGCTACATTACATGCTATTATTTTATTGTCAATAATAAGAATACGTAAAAAAATAAAGTGTAAATTTCCTGAAATCCAGCACAAGCGTAGCTTCTTGTGCTGCTTTTTTACATGCCCTCCTGACATCATGCCTGCAGTCGCGCAGTCCAATCAAAGGCTTCTCATAGAGAAGCATTTAATTGAACCGTTTATCAGGCTAAGAACACATGCACACTCTGGCCGGCAAAGAACAAAAACTGAACTGAGGGCATAGGGAGGCAGGAGGGCTGCAAGGGGAGAATCATATGTCCGCGAAGTGAAACAGAAGCTCCTCCACTGCGGTCTATGGCTTTGCCATGCTATACATGAGGTATGGGTCGGGGGAAAGGAATGAGACACATGGAGGGTCTGTCAAAGTAGAATGGGACACATAGAAGGGATGGCGTGGGGGAATAAGACACATGGAGGGTCTGGAGTGGGGAATGAGACACATGGTGTTGCTGGGGCGATGAGTGAGACACATTGAGGGGCTGGGGAGGGGGAATAAGACACATGGGGCTGGGTGCAGTGAGTGAGTGAGACACATGGAGGGGCTGGGGGTTGCATAAAACAATGACACATACGGTGACCCATACAAACACACTGACACACACAGTGTCCCATACAAATACACTGACACACATAGTGACCCATACACACTCACTGACAAACAGTGACCCATACAAATATACTGATACACCGTGACCAATACACTTACACACACAGTGACCCATGCAAATACACTGACATACACAATGACCCATACACACTCACTGACACACACACACAGTGACACATAAAAGCACAAACAGTGACCCAAACACACTTACTGACACACACAATGACCCATACAAGTACAGTGACACGCACAGAAACCATACACACTCACTAACACACAGTGACTCATACACACTCACTAACACACAGTGACCCATACAAACACACTGACACACAGTGACCAATGCAAACATACTGACACAAGCAGAGTGACCCATGCACACTCACTGACACACACACACACAGTGCCTCATACAAACACACTGACACACACAGTGACCCATACACACGCAATGACACATACAGTGACCTATACAAACACACACAGTGTCCCATTAAAATACACTGACACACATAGTGACCCACACACACTCACTGGCATACACAGTAACCTATACAAACACACTGAAGCACTCGGTGACTCATTCACACTCACTGATAAACAGTGACCCATAGAAACAAACTGACACACACAGTAACCCATACAAACACACTAACACATGGTCACCATACACAATTTTACCTACACACACAGTGACCCATATAAACACACTGACACACTCAGTGGCTCATACAGACATACTGACACACCGTCACCTATACATACTCACTGACAAGCAATGACCCATACAAACACACTTACACAAACAGTGACCCACACAAATATACTGACACACAGTCACCCATACACACTCACTGGCACACACAGTGACCCATACAAACACACTGGCACACACAGTGACCCATACAAACATGATACACAAAGTAATCCATACAAACACATTGACACACACAGTGACCCATACACACTCACTGCATTTGTATGGGACACTGTGTGTGTCAATGTGTTTGTATGTGTCACTGTATGTGTCATTGCGTGTGTATGAGTCACTGTTTCATTGTTTTTGTATGGGTCACTGTGTGTGTCGGTGAGTTTGGGTCACTGTGTATATCAGTGTTTTTGTATGAGTCACTGTGTGTGTCAGTAAGTGTGCATGGGTCACTACTGTGTGTGTCAGTATGTTTGTATGAGTTACTGTCAGTGATTGTGGAAGGGTCACTGTGATTGTGGAATGGGTCACTGTGTGTGTCAGTGTGTTTGTATGGGTCATTGTCATACAAACACACTGACATACACAGTGACCCATACACACTCACTGACACACTCAGTGACTCATACAAATGGATGTTAAAGGAACACTATAGCATCAAAATCCAAATATGTATTCCTGACACTATAGTATTTAGATCGCTTAGGTAAGCTGATATTACTTATATTACACATGGTGTCGGTGACGTTAATCTTAGCCTATCCAATGCTATTGCACATGCATGCCACAATGCCTAGCAGCACCAGTCAGCATCTCCTCCATTAACCTGTAGTGGTTCTGGTGATTATAGTGTCCAATTAAGTATTGTGACTCCATGTACCTGAAATTTCAAAAGCTGCAATTGTGTCATGATGACAAAAGTACGCATGCATTGGCATCCCTAGAAGTGGGACACCGGTTGATGGGGGTAAACGGGGGAGCCCAGTGACACAATTGAAAAAATTACTGGCAGGTCAGCCTGGCATAAATGCATTTCAGGCTGCCTATCAACCCCATAGGCCAGCCCACTGAGGGCAGGAATGGCAGGGAGCACTATTTCCCCAAAAGCAGGACAACAGGGAACAAAGTCGGGAAGGCAGGACAGGACCCAAAAATAGGTCCTTTTCTGATGCTTGCACTATTCTGGTAACAGGTAGTGACAACACCCACAACATGACTTTCTGTAAAGCCACAGCCCTTACCCACACTAATACTCTGCTATTCTAAAGCTGCTGCTTTGGTAATTCCAGACCTCTGTCTCAACTTCTCCTGTTGAGTGTACAGTGTTCCTAATTATCCTTCTCTCGTTTCCTAACCAAACTCCTTCTTCTGTGGATTTCTGAACTTCTAAATCTTGGCTGGTCTCTCTGTATTTTAACAATTACTGATTGCCTTGAATTTTAGAATAGACCTGATGCTCCTGACATATCCCTATCTGGTCATAACTTATAAGATCACCCTTCTGCAAAAACACTAATAGAGTTCCTCTTTCACTCATCTTACTTTTCTTTGTATTCCGTAGTACGCCTATGCCAGCGACAACATTGTGGAGCTTGGTGAAGCTGTCCACTCTGCTATAATTAGGCTCTGCACCTCAAAAAACATGCACATGAGAGATACTATGTACAATATAATCTCACTAGAGTGAGAATTCAAAGTGAATTTCAAATATTAGGCCAAGGTAGCTGAAATAGAATCAAAGGTGATTTAGAATTTTTTTTTAGTTCAGCAATTTTGGCCTTTTGAAATTTTAAATTCATTTTGAATTTTTACTTTAGTGAATAACCCTTTCTGTCTTTAGTTGAAAAATCAATTTTGACCTTGTGAACAATTATACTTATATTGAATTACTGTTTCTAAATAATGTAAGAGTGTTAATTTTTAGCATTGCTTGTTTTTTTGCATCTAGTGCATCTTGATTCATTTTGGCAGTAAGACATTGAACTGAAATCACAAACCAACAGCCTAATTTATTACAAAACCCAAGAAGCCAATTATAGCAACCCTGTCAGCGACCATGTGAGTACTTGGAGTTTCTTTACAATCCTTTCCAGATAACGGTTTATTTTTCCAATATTCACTTGAGATCAGTGTCGCGGTTCTATAGCCTATCAGTATTTTGATGACATTTCTTGCTTACTCTGACATGCAAAGCCACAAACTGAGCATCTTGTTTACACTGTTACCAAGTTTCTACCACCTTGCAGGCAGGTCTCTCTAAACAGGCAGAGTAGAGCATGAGACAGTCCATGTTCATGAGCCAAGAGATCTCAAATTGCAAAGTCCTTTTCAACTGTCTTTCTGTCTAAGAATTTTATTACCCTTTCTTCAATAACTGCAATTTGCCAGTCTATGTCAATCCAGTTTGTAATACGATGATTTGCTGTTTGGCTTATTTAGTACTTCAAGAATAATTGCAAGTTCCATACTGAAGTCTTACTAGCGACTCAGTATTAAGGTGACCATACTTAATTGGTAAGCTTATAAAGCAAAAACTCACAAAGTAAAATATATTGAAGATAAAGTGTATGTGCATTTCTGGAATAGCTATTCAGGAATTAAAACACATTACTATTAACAATACACCAAATTTATGGAACATGGCTGCATTAAAAAATAACGAATATCTGGGATTAACTGTAGGCGTCCATACAGACATTAATATCGGTGACAATATAACCACATGCTCATAATCCAACAAGTAGAGCAGTCATTAATAATAAAGGACAGCGATTTGGTACTGCAAGGAGAACTTAAAAAAAAAATAAAAATATTAATGAAATAAATTAAATTTAAAATAAATAAATAAAAATAAATTTAAAAAAAATGATGAACATTTGCTATTTTGCCATTTTTACCAACTTCCCATTTAACTTTGTGAGAAAGTTACTACATCTGCACTACCCAATTTTTAGCTTCTCTTTAGCTTCCTCATTGAAACATTGTCGGAAACCAGGAGGCAGAGCAGACAGGTGCTGTCTTCACAACCTTCAACATCCTACCTAGCTTCATACACCAAGAATGGGAAGCCTTTGTCCAGGTCGATAGCCCCACAGAGCGGGGCTATCAGAGGATATAACTTGTGTGAGTTTTTGGGGTACTTTCCGGTTACCTGCAAATTGTGTTCTTTTTCACCTAGAGATAATTGAGTTAGTACAGTATCTGGCTGAATTATTTCTCAGGCAGAAGGGAGGGATTGTATATTTGTAATGGGAGTGTCATACATTTGAACATCATTGTCATTGGTCTTTGTCTTTATCTTGTAAGTTCTACACAAGGTCCATGTGGGAGTACCCCTTGCATGGGCAATTGCATAAAAGGTCAGTGTGGCACCATTAAAATCATTCCTTGCTTACCATCATCATAGAGTCTCATCTCATAATTGTAAGGACCAGCTATACCTGCTATAATCACCAGCTTTTGTAAGAGCTATACTTTCCTGGGAAATCATCACTCTGGACAGGGAGAAAAGAATGACTCAGGCGGCGAAACCCCTAAACCTCTCGGGGCAGCCGCCACAATCGGTGGCAAGCGCGGGATGGTTCTTGTTCCCCAGAGAAGATGCTGATTTTGGATGCAGTAACAGCCTAACAGATGGAGAATCAGTATGCACAACTGAAGCGATCCACACTAAAGGATATTTTTGAGAAACGTGGGCGAACGGCGAACAATCGTCCTAAGAGAGAACTAATACAAGAATTACTGGAGATGGATAGTGCTAACGTCTTACCCGAACTGATGCTACTGAATGCGGGATAAGACAAACGGATGCAGACCATTCGGTCACCACTAACCCTGTTTGATCCCAACAATTTCCTTCATCGTGATGCAGGTGATGGAAATTGTAGATGCAGAGGAATTAGCTAAACTAGAAAGCCAAGTCAGAGTAGCAGCTATACAGCACTCCGAGAGCCCAGCAGTGGAAAATACGACATCCAGAGAACGTAAGAAAGTGCCATTTGCAGCGTTTCAAAATTTCCTAGAAGCAGAAGGAGAAATACATGGGTACCTTGAGGATTTTGAGCGGCAGTGCGCACTGCACAAGGTACCCTCTGACAAATGGGTCACTATTTTATCCGGGAAACTATCATGGACAGCAACAGACGCATTCCAGGCAATTCCTGGGCCCTGCAAACTTACGGTTACACCATCTACTACCGACCCGGGAAGCAGAATGGCAATGCCGACGGGTTGTCCACACAGCCTGAATCTCTAAAACTAATTTAGGCAGGAGCCTTGTGTGCTGTCGGTCAGAAACAAGGTTTCCATAAAACTTTTAAACCCCTGAACCGATCTAGGAGATTTTTAAATATGTTGTTCCCACAGATCGGGGCTATCAGGGGATATAACTTGTGTGGGGGTTATGTGAGTATTTGGGGTACTTTCAGGTTACCTGCAAATTGTGTTAATTTTCACCTAGAGATAATTGAGTTAGTACAGTATCTGGCTCAATTATCTATCAGGCAGAAGGGAGGGATTGTATAACTGTAATGAGAGTGTCATACATTTGAACATCATTGTCATTGGTCTATGTCTTTATCTTGTAAGTTCCCCACACAGACCATGTGGGAGTACCCCTTGCATGGGGAATTGCATAAAAGGCCAGTGTGGCACCATTAAAATCATTCCTTGCTTACCCTCATCATAGAGTCTCAATTTATGATTGTAGGGACCAGCTATACTTGCTATAATCACCAGCTTTTGTAAGAGCTATAATATCCTGGGAAATCGGAAATGATCACTCTGGACAGGGGGAGAAGAATGGCTCAGGTGGCGAAACCCCTCATCCTCTCGGGGTAGCCGCCACAGCTCTGCCGCATGCTTGTAGCAGGGCTAAATTCCCCCCAAATCCTGCCTGCCTGTTGCCCAAAACAATATGCCTAAGGTCTCAGGCAATACAAATTCCACATCCCTGGAACTTTTCAGAGGCACCCCTTTAAGTGGCACCCACTCACACACTGCTATACCCTAGGCATGCCACTGGAGTTGACGGGTGTCAGGTTGACAAGTGGCAAACAGAGGGCTATCTGGTTTAATCAGGTCACTTTGAAGTTCAGTGCGTTAATTCCACCCACACACTCCCATACATACACATACGCATTCCAACACTTTCCCATATACATACACACCTACATTTATAAAGCCAAATATGGATAGTGAGAAAGACTGAACGTCAGAGTAGTGCAGGCAAGCCACTATATATAGGGATGCACTCCCTGTATCCCTTAAACCAAATGTGCAAACAAAACTGTATATACACCATACAGAAATAGGGCACCACTTATCACAAAAGAAAAATGCTGAATATAGTTACCCTCCAGCAGATGGACATGGAACATTTACATGAAAAGAAATAGAAAAAAAGAAATCATCGTGCAAACTTTAATTAAGAAATGGTAAAACATATAGGATAAAAACACTCACAAACGATGTGGCACAATTGAAAACCTTTCTACCCAGACAGTTGAAGCATCTGGTGGTGAATACCTTGGTCCATCTCTCTTTGCAGTTTTGCACAGACCTCTACACAGATTGCCTAACCAGGAGATTCAGCCTATTTGAGGCACCAGCTTTTAAGCACATATTGAAT